TGTTGTACACCGCCATGAGTTGCCCTAGGGCTGAGAACGGCGGTCTACAAGTGCAGTAATAAATAAATAAATAAATAAATATTTTCCTGCCAAAGTGGAGTATCTTCCATTTGTCACCGTTGAACTTCATTCTGTTAGTTTTAGCCCATCATCTCTCTAATCTGTCAAGATCCCTTTGAATCCTGCTCCTGTCCTCTGGAGTCTTGGCTCTCCCTCCCAATTTGGTCCCGTCTGCAAACTTGATGATCCTGCCTTCTAACCCTTCATCTAAGTCATGAATGAAGATCCTGATCAGGACCAGGCCCAGGACGGAACCCTGTGGCACTCCGCTCGTCACTTCTTTCCAGGATGAAGAGGAAGCCTTGGTGAGCACCCTCTGGGTTCGTCCACTTAACCAATTCCAGATCCACCTCACCGTAGTTTTGCCTCGCCCACACTGGACTAGTTTCCTTGCCAGAAGGTCATGGGGGACCTTGTCAAAGAAGGCCTTCCTGAAATCCAGGTACGCCACATCCACGGCATTCCCCGCATCTACCCAGCTTGTAACTCTATCAAAAAAAGAGATCAGATTAGTCTGGCATTACTTGTTTTTGATAAATCCATGTTGACTATTAGCAATGACCTCCCCCAGGCTGCAGAATGCTGCCAGCCTGCCCGCGATGCAATTTTTGCGTCCCTGGGAGGACGAAACTGTGCTCCTCTGAACCGCAGATATGGAAACTCCTTGGGTCCCCATATCCGCAAGTCAACGGATTGCTCCAAAATCAGTGCCATTCTTCTCCGGGGATAATTCTAAGACTAATGGCTATCTCGCTTTCCCTCCACTAACCCCTCCGCCCCGGGAATAACCTTTTTTGCCCCCAAAACTTAACATGGAGCCCTGCTGGCTCCCCGCTGCCACCACGTCATTGCCGCCATCTCGTTGGTGCCCAAAGATCCTGTTGAACTGGGGCACCTGTTGCGGTCACCCCTTGGGACCCCCTTAAGACCAGCGGGCCGTCCGGGTCCTTGATGAGTTGGGATCTGTAGTTTCTTCACTTCTCGATGTGGTTCCCAACCTCCAGCGCTGGCAGCCACTTCCACAAGGACCAAATGAACTCTGGGGCACCCTCCCCAGCTTGCCCCCATGGATTCTATAACTTTTTCCGAACTTTAGTCAACTTAAAAAAACTTTTGGAAACTTTTTGGAACTTTCCTTCCCCAAAGCCCACGGACTTCCTTTATGATCTTAGCCTCTTCTATGAACTCTCGATGGGTGGGGTGGGTTGATATGAATTGCTTTCCCTTCTTATGAATGTATCCCTTTTGAATCCCTATGTATGTATATGAAATATGGAATGCCACCTTTTCGTGACCTCAGCCTGCCAAAAGTAATAGGGAATTCTTTCCTATTTCCTGAGAGGTTGAATCACAACAAAAGTGTTCAAGTGTAGGTACTGTTATAACATGTTTCTTTGCACAATCTGTTGACTGAATTGCAATAATTAGCACTAAAATAAGTTTATAAGTAAGGAAATAAAATGTATTAGTAACAATGTTTGTGATGAAACACATGGAACAGCTACACAGCAAACTACACAAGGATTATTTATACAGAAAGCTTATATGAACATCATCTTTATATATTACTAGCTAGGGACCCGGTGGTGCACGGGTTATTAGAGAAAGTGGGTAATGGGGGTTCTGTATGCCAAGTTTGGTCTTTATTGGTCATTGGATGAGGGTCGCATTGTTTTCAGGAAGCAAGTCCCATCATCCGTGGTCCAACCTCCTCCAAACTGCAGCAGGATGTTGTATGGGTCATGGGAGCTCTGTCTGCCATTTTGGTCTTGACCAGTCATTGGATGAGGGGCGCAGTGGTTTCAGTAAGTGAGTGAAGGTACTGCAAGTCCCATCATACATGGTCCATCCCCCTTAGAACTGCATCAGGATGTAGAGTGGGTCATGAGTACTCTGTGCGCCAAGTTTGGGCCTGGTCTGTGATTTGTAGGGGCTACAATGTTCTGTGGGAATTGAATCGGATGAAGGTACTGCAAATCCCATCATTCATGGCCCATCCTGCCCTGAACCACACCAGGTTGAAAAGTGGGCCACTGGGCCTGTGTGTGCCAAGTTTGGTCCTGATCTGTCATTGGTGTGGGCCACAGTGCTCTAAGGAAGTGAGAGACAGGGCCTTTTCTGTGGTGGCCCCTTGGCTATGGAATTCCGTCGCAAATGAAATTAGATCTGCCCCCTCCCTCCTGACCTTTAGGAAGCTAGTGAAAACCTGGCTGTGCAACAAAGCTTTTGTGGAATGATGTCTGAGACCAGCAATCGACTAATGGAACTGATCCCAATATATGGACTGGACATACTGACTGAGTTGGACACAATTTTATCCTGGTGAACGGCTTTTATGTAATTTTATGTAATTTATGTAATGTAATTGGTTAATGTTGTGTATTATGTTTTAGATTTTCAGTGTTAGCATTGAATCTTTGCTGTTAGCCGGTCTGAGTCCCTCTGCAGAGGTAGAGATCGGGATATAAAATTTTAAATAATAATAATAATAATAATAATAATAATAATAATAATAATAATAATAATACTGCAAGTCCCATCATCCATGGTCCATCTTCCCTCAAATTGTACCAGGATGTAGAGTGGGTCTTGGGGAGTCTGTGTGCCAGGTTTGGTCTTGTTCTGTCATTGTTGGGGGCCACAAGGTGTTTTGGACTTCAACTCCCACCATTCCTGACTGCCTCAAGCCCTTCCCTTTTCCCTCTCAGCCACTTAAGAATGTTAGAATGTTGAGAATGGCCAATCAGAAAGCATAGGCAAATTATACCACAGTGACAACCAATCAGAAAGCTGCCACGTACATACATACATACGAACATTCACTTTTATTATATATTAGCTTGGGGACCCGGTGGTGCCTGGGTTATTTGAGAAAGGCATTGTGTGCACCAGCTGGCTGAGTGTCAGCTGCATTAAGATCACTCTGACCAAAAGGTCATGAGTTCAAAGCCAGCCCGGGTTGGAGTGGGTTTCCAACCAATTGTGTGTAGCCTGTTGTCGACCTTTGCAACCCGAAAGACAGTTGCATCTGTCAAGTAGGAAAATTAGGTACCACCTTAAAGTGTGGGGAGGCTAAATTAACTGATTTATGAGGCCATTAAAAAAAAGACTCCAGCAAAAGCATGCAGGGAATGCGGAAGTACTTCATCAGTGTCGCAGGTGGATGATGAAGGCGACAGCTCCCCTGGCGGCCAGAAAAAGTTAAATGGCCTCTGTCTATGTCTGTATATGTTGTATGTCAAAAATTGGCATTGAATGTTTGCCATATATGTGTACACTGTAATCTGCCCTGAGTCCCCTGCGGGGTGAGAAGGGCGGAATAGAAATACTGTAAATAAATAAAATAATAAATAAGGTTGATCTTAATCAGTTCTTGATATGGCTCGCAGTAGTCTCAGGAAGATAGTGAAGTACTGCGAGTCCCAAACTGTCCACACTCCAAGCATTGATAGGGTTTCTCCCCAGTGTGTAAACTGAAATCTGAGTAAAGCTCTGTCCACACTCCGGGCATTTCCCCTCAGTGTACTTCCTTTGATGTTTACATGGATTTGAACTATGAATGAACCTGTTTATTTCTTTATTTTTATTGAATACAAGATAACATAACCTTTGAGCAGATATTAATTATCTATTGTGAACTTATATTCTGGTAAAGTGTTTCTATATTATCGATTCACCTTTTTACAAGTTCATTCTCAATCGGTGAACCCCTTTCCAAAAGCCAAGCATTCATAAGGTTTCTCCTCAGTGTGAGTCCTTTGATGTGAACATAGACCTGAACTATCAGTGAAACTCTTTACACACTCCAGGCATGTATAGGGTTTCTCCCCAGTCCATCAGAAGAAGTCAGTGATAGATTTCCACTATCGGTGAAGCTGTATCCACACTCCAGGCATTTATAAGGTTTCTCCCCAGTCCATCAGAAGAAGTCACTGATAGATTTCCACTATCAGTCAAGCTGTATCCACACTCCAGGCATTTATAGGGTTTCTCTCCAGTGTGAATCCTCTGTCTATGTAGATGTGCACTCTGAGTGAAGCTCTGGCCACATTCCAGGCATTTATAGGGTTTCTCTCCAGTGTGAATCCTCTGTCTATGTAGATGTGCACTCTGAGTGAAGCTCTGGCCACATTCCAGGCATTTATAGGGTTTCTCTCCAGTGTGAATCCTCTGTCTATGTAGATGTGCACTCTGAGTGAAGCTCTGGCCACATTCCAGGCATTTATAGGGTTTCTCTCCAGTGTGAATCCTCTGTCTATGTAGATGTGCACTCTGAGTGAAGCTCTGGCCACATTCCAGGCATTTATAGGGTTTCTCTCCAGTGTGAATCCTCTGTCTATGTAGATGTGCACTCTGAGTGAAGCTCTGGCCACATTCCAGGCATTTATAGGGTTTCTCTCCAGTGTGAATCCTCTGTCTATGTAGATGTGCACTCTGAGTGAAGCTCTGGCCACATTCCAGGCATTTATAGGGTTTCTCCCTAGTGTGACTCCTCTGATGAGAATGTAGGCTCCCACTCTCCATGAAGCTGTATCCACACTCCAGGCATGTATAGGGTTTCTCCCCAGTGAGCCCTTTGAGGTGAACAAAGATATGAAATCTGAGTGAAGCTCTTTTCACACTCGAAGCACAAATAGGGTTTCTGCCCAGTGTGAATCCTTTGATGTTTACATAGGTCTCCACTGATTGAAGCTCTGTCCAAACTCCAAGCATAGATAGGGTTTCTCCCCAGTGTGTAAACTGAAATCTGAGTACAGCTCTGTCCACACTCCGGGCATTTCACCCCAGTGTACGTTCCTTGATGTTTACATAGATGTGAACTATCAATAAACCTGTTTCTTTATTTTTTTATTTAATACAAGATAACATAATCTTTCAGCAGATAATAAATATGTATTGTGAGCTTACAGTCTGGTAAAGTGTCTCTAGATTATTTTATTTATTTATTTATTTATATTTCAAACTTAGATGCCGCCGCTCCCCTCAGGCTCGGAGCACCTTACAAGAACAAACTAGAATCTAACACAAATTAAACAACATACCAAAGATCAAAAGCCTGTCGAAAAAAATATGTCTTACAAGCCCTGTGGAAGGCCGATAAATCCCGCAAAGCACATACTTCTGGTGGCAGTGTTCCATAGCGATGGTGCCACTACTGTGAAGGCTCTGCGTCTGGTTGCTGTTAGATGCAAGGTTTTAAAACTGGGAACTTCCAATAAATTTTGGTCCTCAGAATGGAGGGATCTCTGGGGTTGGTAGGGGGTGAGGCGGTCCCTCAGGTACATTGGCCCCAGACCATATAAGGCCTTCAAGGTGAGTACCATCCCTTTGAAAGTGATTCGGTGCTCAATTGGTAGCCAATGCAGCTGTAGTAAGATTGGTGTTATGTGGAATCTCATCAGAATTCCCGCAAGAAGCCAAGCAGCTGCATTTTGTACCAACTTGAGCTTCTGGATCACCAGTAGAAGGACAATGTAGAGGGCATTACAGTAGTCCACTCTTGAGATGACCGTGGCCTGGATCACCGTAGCGAGGTCGTCCCTGGACAGGGAGGGGGCCAGCCGTCTAGCCTGTCACAGATGAAAGAAAGCGGTTCTGCTAACGGCGGAGACCTGAGCCTCCATCGTCAGCAGAGGGTCCCAAAGGACTCCCAGACTCTTTACCAATGATGACGGGCGTAGCGCCTCGCCATCCAGGGTAGGCAGCTGGATATCCCCACTGCCCGGTCGACCCAGCCACAGAATCTCCATTTTTGCCAGATTCACCCTCAACCTGAAAGCACGCAGCCATCCAGTAACGGCCTCCAATGCATTGATGAAAATTATCGGGTACATAGTCTGGTCGGCCTTCCATCTTCAACATAAGCGGAGTGTCATCAGCGTACTGGTAACACTCAAGCCCAAAGCCTCGGACCAGCTGGGCAAGTGGGCACATATAGGTGTTAAATAGATATTATCTATTCGCCTTTTTACAAGTTCATTCTCAATCAGTGAATCCCTTTCCAAAATCCAAGCATTCATAAGGTTTCTCCTCAGTGTGAATCCTGTAATGTGAACATAGACCTGAACTATCAATGAAAAGCTGTCCACACTCCAGGCATGTATAGGGTTTCTCCTCCATGTGAGTTCTTAGATGTGAACGTAGATCTGAACTATCAGTGAAGCTCTGACCACACTCTAGGCATTTATAGGGTTTCTCCCCAGTGTGAGTCCTTTGATGTTTATGTAGACTTCCTCTCTGAGTGAAACTCTTTCCACACTCCAGGCATCTATAGGGTCTCTCCCCAGTGTGAGTTCTTTGATGTGATTGTAAACCTCCACTCTGAGTGAAGCTCTGACCACACTGCAGGCATTTATAGGGTTTCTCCCCAGTGTGAGTCCTTAGATGTGAACGTAGACCTGAACTATGAGTGAAGCTCTGACCACACTCCACGCATGTAAAGGGTTTCTCCCCAGTGTGTGTTCTTTGATGTCGACATAAATATGAACTATAAGCAAATCTCTTCCCACACTCCAGGCATGTATAGGGTTTCTCCCCAGTGTGAGTCCTTTGATGTGAACGTAGATTTGTACTATAAGCAAAGCTCTGTCCACAATCCAGGCATTTATAGGGTTTCTCCCCAGTGTGAGTCCTTTTATGTGAATAGAGACCTGAATCATGAGCGAAGCTCTGTCCACATTCCTGGCATTTATAGGGTTTCTCTCCAGTGTGAATCCTTTGATGGCTGTGTAGATGTGCACTCTGAGTGAAGCTCTGACCACACTCCAGGCATGTATAGGGTTTCTCCCCAGTGTGAGTCCTTAGATGTGAACGTAGACCTGAACTTTGAGCGAAGCTTTGTCCACACTCTAGGCATATATAAGATTTCTCCCCAGTGTGAATCCTTTTATGTGAACATAGACCTGAACTTTGAGCGAAGCTCTGTCCACATTCCAGGCATGTAAAGGGTTTCTCCCCAGTGTGTGTTCTTTGATGTCGAGATAAACCTGAAGTATGAGTGAACCTCTTCCCACACTCCAGGCATTCATAACATTTCTCCCCAATGTGAGTCCTTTGATGTGAACGTAGATTTGTACAACGACTGAAGCTCTGTCCACAGTCCAGGCATTTAAAGGGTTTCTCCCCAGTGTGAGACTTTTGATGTGAACGTAGGTATCTAATCTGATTGAACCTCTGTCCACACTCCAGGCATGTATAGGGTTTTTCCCCATTGTGAGTCCACTGATGTGAACGTAGATTTGTACTACGGCTGAAGCTCTGTCCACACTCCAGGCATGTATAGGGTTTCTCCCCAGTGTGAGTCTTTTGATGTGAATGTAGATTTGAAATCTGAGTGAAACTCTTTCCACACTCGAGGCATGTATAGGGTTTCTCCCCAGTGTGAATTCTTTGGTGTTCAAATAGATTTGAACTATGTGTGAACCTCTTCCCACACTCAAGGCACGTATAGGGTTTCTCCCCAGTGTGAGTCTTTTGATGTGAACGTAGACCTGAACTATAAATGAAGCTTTGTCCACACTCCAGGCATTTATAGGGTTTCTCTCCAGTGTGAGTCCTTTGATGTTTATGTAGATTTCCTCTCTGAGTGAAGCTTTGTCCACACTCCAGGCATGTATAGGGTTTCTCCCCAGTGGGAGTCCCTTGATGTGAATGAAGATTTTGCCTCTCAGTGAAGCTATTTCCACACTCCAGGTATTTAGATGCATCCTCCTCCATGTCAACAATGATACGGGTGTTTAATTTCAATACAGAGACTGGACTCCTCTTTATTTCTTTGTTATCTGTAAGTGAAGTCAAGAATTCAGCAAGATCATCGCCTCGAGAGGATGTCTTCTCCCTGTATTATTGGTTTCCTTTCTGCATCCGAGAGGTCGCTCCAAAGAGTCCTCACTTCCCTGGTGAAGAAAGAAGAGAAAGATCAAGGATGACACCCAGAGACCTTCTCTACCTCCAAGATTGCCCCCTTCTCCTTCATGGGGAAGAAAGTGCATCTACTCTGAGCAATCCTCTCATAGAAGCCACCTCAACAATGCCTAGCTAAGCACAGGCAAAACAGCCTGAAAAGGAGAAAGCCGATCAGCCTGTCTTACCCCCGGGCATGAAATAAAAACATGGAGCTATAAAACTGGCCTCCCAAAAGGAAAACCTAAGAAAACCGAAGGCTGGGGGAAGAAAGTGTTCCTAGAAAAGTCTTCCCTTTGAAAGATACAAGTTGAAACTCAACTTATAATGACGTGTAGTTAGTTGTTTGAAAACGAATCAGCTGGATGAAAGTTAAAGTAGGGGTGGAGTCCCTTTAGAATGACTCTGACTGCAGTCAAAACAATTCAGGCTGCAGAGATACAAGCAATATATCCATTTCAAAGCAAAACGGCTTGTGAGTGGTTATTTGATATTGCTATATAGATCCTACAATCCGACACTTTGACTGCAGTCAAAACAATTCAAGCTGTTTACAATAACACTGTCTGGGAGCATTGCCAAATACAGGGATGTATTTGTAAAAGACATCTAATTGGATATTTGTTGAAATACGACAACCAGTGAACAATAAGTAAATAAATAAATAAGGAGAGCACCTATACCTTCATAATAAACTTGTTTACAATGAAGAAAAAACAAACTAGGTGGATGCAAATATTGAAACAAATGGAAATACTGAATGGAATGATCAATAATTCTAATACTAAACTTTAAAAATTTAATACGTACTTCAAGAGGGCAAGTTTGGCCTCGGAAGAGACAAAAACGGGATATGAACAAAGGGAATTAAGTATGTTGGAAAGAAAGGAAGGTGGACAATTTAAAGACCAGGAAGCAGTATCTCAGAAGGAACCGTTAAATACCAATTTGAGGAGGACAGACTTGGCCCCTGAAGAGGAGGAACAGATACGTGAACAAGAGCCAAATAAATCTGGAAAAATGGAAGAGGATGCACAACGAAAGGAAGCGGGAACTCAGAAGGAACCACCACAGAATGGACTCTTGGCAAAAGTCAAGAGACAAAATATACAGAGAGAACAAAGAAAATGTAAAATTGAGGTGAGCAATATCTCAGAAGATATCAGGACTCTAAAGATGATGTCAAATTAAATCTCCACTCCTATTGGTGAATACAGAACTCTCCAAAAGCAGATTTAAATAAAGGGAATCCCCATAGTCTATGGCTAACAGGAAACTTTGGGATCAAGTGAACCATCTTGGATGTTGAAATCTTCTAGGGAGGCCCTGCTCTCGCTCCCCCCTTCTTCGCAAATGTGCCTGGCGGGGACGAGGGACAGGGCCTTCTCAGCGGTGACCTCTCGACTGTGGAACGCCCTGCCTAGAGATATAAGATCGGCTCCCTCCCTCCTGATTCCTGTGGCAACCTCCAGGACGCCGAAGTTGGAAAAATGCCGACATATACCTCTAGCTGTTGTCTGTCTTGTAAGTCTAATGGCATGGAATGTTTGCCATGTATGTGTTCTGTAATCCGCCCTGAGTCTCCTTCAGGGTGAGAAGGGCGGAATATAAATGCTGTAAATAAATAAATAAATAAATAAATAAATAAATAAATAAATATTAACTTACTAACTGTACAGGTTGCGCGAACCAATTGTTCAGATGTGGATGATTATGAAGGGAATTAATCTCAGGCCTCAATTGTGTATAAGAATATATTATAGAAGAGGCCAATTATTAGTTATAAATTAAGGTAACTGCCACCAACGTGAGGTATTTGAGGTATCACCGATGAGATCTGGCTCTACAGACGCAGGTTAGATGAGATGAGATGGTTTTTAACAAAAGATAACAAGTTTATTGTGTACAAAGCGTATGGTTGCAGGCTGTTAAATAACTTATAGAACTTTGAATGTCACTTGGTTTTAATATAGTCCACTCTTTCAAATAACACGGCTCGTGGCCAACTTTTACTGAGGTGAAGCTCTTTAGTGAACAACGTTTCCTACTATGAATAGCCTTCCAATTTGATCTTTCCTTGATCAAATCTCTGATCTCTAGTCCTTCCTTGACTAGGGATCCTAACAGGCTTCCTTTAGTCTTTCTTGACTAAAGAAACTGGCCAGGTTTCTCTCTTCAGCCCTTCTAGACTGAAAAACCTCCAGTTGCTCTCACATACCTCTCTCCTAGGCTTTTCAAGCCTCCACACTCTCTCACACTCTCCCACACTGGCCCTTTTCCAAAGACGCCTATAACTTTTCCTGCTTGGCTCCGCCCACTTCTCACTCTCCTGAGCTAGCCTGCCTGGTCTCCTTGGCAACGCTCACTGTGGATTCAAACCAGATAACTCTAGTTCTAGCTACTGTTACAAAAACAAATATATACTCTAACAGTTACACATACATAGTATCAATTACTTCTGCACACTAACAAATAGGTTTAAAGTAATAGTTTCTAAGAACAGTTTGACAATAAAAAGAAACAACCAAAAGGAAACAATAAAAAAGAATCTTCAAACAGAAAAGCAAAGAAGATAACCAACTGGAATCAAAGATGTAGGGTAAAGATCCAGTAGACCACGATATCCAACTGGGATGCCTCGCAGGAATGGGGCTTGGAGGGACTGTTTCCTGGAGGTGTTGTTGGGGGAAACCTGCACGGTCCCACAGCCATGGTCTTCTGGGGTCCCGCAGGGTTCAAGATTCCATAAACCGTAATGATCCAGAAAGCTAGAGACCAATCTCCTTGTTGTGCCATCTTTACAAAGTTCTGGAGAGACTTATCCTGCACAGAATTGTGGGGGGAAAGACCTATTGATGATCCCACAGCAAGATGGTTTCAGGAAAGAGAAAAGCTGCACATCGCAAGTGTTGAACCTGACTCAGCACATAGAAGATGGTTTTGAAAGGCAGCAGATCACAGGAGCTGTCTTCATAGACCTGCCAGTAGCTTATGATACTGTAAATCTTGACCTCCTCCTGAGAAGAACTTATAATATCACAAAAGACTCCCACCTCACCCGCTTCATAGGAAATCTGCTACAAAACAAGAGCTTTTTTTGTTGAGTTCCAGGGTCACAGAAGCAGATGGTGAAAACAGAAGAGCGGCCTGCCTCAGGGGAACGTGCTTGCTCCATCCATGTTCAATATTTACACAAATGACCAGCCACTGCCAGAAGGAACACAGAGTTTCCTCTATGCTGACGATCGTGCCATCACTGCTCAAGCAGGGAGCTTTG